GATTTGCCAGTGAAGACTGAGGCAAAGAACTTCATGAGGTTCCTGTTCAGCGCATTTCTCCAGCCTGTTGAGGTCCCTCTGGATGGCAGCACACCCGTTTGTTGTATCAGCCACTCCTCCCAGTTTTTTGTCATCATGAAATTTGGTGAGGGTGCACTCTGCCCCACCATCCAAATTATTAATGTAGTCCTTTGAGATAATGATGTATAAAATCCGTACAATGTTTCTACTCCATGCAGAATAAACATAAAGGAAGAGACTGAAAATTTTAATTATAAGATATCATTATCCTTCTTTTGCTTATTTGTGATGACTGAAAAATAGTATATTGCATTTGAGAAAAAGAATCTGATATTATACTTGAAGGTTACTACACTGAAAAACACAGGAGAGTATTATTCTTGCAACATTTGACAAAGTGTACCGGAAAAGGGAAACTCAAATGAAATTAACCACCTTTTTTGTCTTTTGAATTTAATAAAATTTGCAAGCTTCTAGATGAAGCTATTAGTTTCAATTTGCCCACTAACTCATGCACAGAAAGGAATTTTTTTAGACGGTTAAACAACCTTGTCAATTAGATGTTTAATGAATTAAGATGAACTGAGAGACATTCTTAACTGGCATCTGTTGATAAAGAAATAGCTACATTTCTTGAAGATGCAAGGATCACTAATGAGTACTCTGTCAGAACTAATTGAATCTTTTTATTTAAGGCCAAACTGTGACTTGTGGCCCTGATATTCTCTGGAACTTACAGTGGAAATCCCTGAATAAAGTTCAAAATTCTGTTGTGTGATGGGACATAGTAAAACTTTAGTAGTTATATGATACTAGCTAAATTTATGAGATTGCTTTGGTGTTTTCCTAAAGCATGCCCTGTTTAGTCGCATCCTTTACTGCCCATGTTTGATGGGCAAAAGAATGTATGTCTTCTAATGTCAGTTGTATAAATACATTATGGTTTAGTGCTTTAAAATATGTGCTTATTGCTTTTACAGTTTCTCTTTCCTAATCCTGACATTATCCTGTGTGCTTCCTGCAGATATAAATGAATGTGAATCTGCCCCCTGCAAGAATGGTGGAATCTGTACAGATCTCATTGCCAACTATTCCTGTGAATGTCCAGGTGAATTTATGGGACGAAACTGCCAACAGAGTAAGTATTGCATGTTTTTACATCTGTTTTTTTAAATAAAATAAATAAATATTTTCTTTTGCAGAAACAACTACAGTATACTATGGAAACATTTCTCTAGTCTACAAATACCTAATGATCAAAATAGCCATCTTATTCTTTTTGAAATGGAGGAAATTTGATAGAGCAAATCTGTCATGCATTCAAGTAAAGCATCTGATACGATAGAAACATTTGCAAAATGCAGACATATTATCTAAGAGTCAAACAAGAAGGAGTAAATAGTGTAAAGCAGAAAAATACAGAAACTGATTCAGGCTAGGCATTCATCTCACCAAGAATCCTGTCTTCAACAGTAATCATTAGCAGATATCAAAAAGTGTAAGAGCAGGGCAAAAATATATGTTACTTTCTCTGACATGTCTCTGGCCTCTGAAAGTTGGACCACTGGTTTACAGCAAAGTCATTAGTGGAGTTCCTCCAGGATCTGTCCTGGGAACAATCTTGCATGATTTTACCAATAACATTAATAATGAATATAATATAAAGGTCTGATTCCTAAAACTGTTACTACAAAGGAGTTTTTCAAGTATGAAAGGTTAGGTGATCTTGAAGACCAAAAAAACAAAAAATAGAATAAACTGCTATGATACAAAATGCAATATACCTTAACTTAACAGTTAATAACAGATATTAGAGGCTTATGGATTTGAAATACTGCAGAGAAGAAAGCCTGTGTATTTTAGTCAAACAAAGGATGCTAATATGATGGTGGTATGGAAAAAGCTAATGGAGTCCCAAGATATGTCAAGCCTGGTACTTTAAAGAGAAAAAGGAAAGTGTATGTGTATTAGCATTTGTAGTATTAGATACTACATTCAGAATACCTGAAATACTGGAGTAATCCACATTCAGGAAAGGAGATTTCTAGTTCAGGAAAGATCTACTATGTGTAGCAGGAAAACTAAAAAAAAAATAAAATAATGTTGCAAGTTGAAGACTAAATAAATGAAACCATAACAAAGTTGAACAATATGATTCATTGTTCTGTGTTCACATTGTGTATGCATGGGGGAGAAGGGAGAATAAAACACAATGGATAAATAATCACAAATGACAAGCTGGGAATTTTTTTAAGTAGCCTCAGTGAATTCCCAGATTTATATATGCATCAGGCAAAAGATTTGAAGCATCCAATGTAACATATATGTAATTCTAGAGAGAAATCAAAGATGAAGATTTGCTTTGAGAAATTTTACACGCCTATGTTGCTACCTTAAAGAATTTGTAAAAAATTAACATCTATTAAAGTTTTCTGTAGAAGTTGCTGGTGAAACTCTCCATATATTTCCTCATAATGTGCAATTGAATTACCATTTGGAATTCTACCAGGAATCTCATCCATCTCTTCAGAGTTTATCCCTTCTGGTTGTTTTGGCTGCATCATGAACATTGCTCAGATTATAGGTCACATAAGACCAATCTCCTGTTTTAGTAGAAATAGGGTAGTCAGAGCTATTACTTGAAGTGATCATTGTATTTTCTGCATCATAATCTGTTCTTTCATACTTCTTTTTCTTTTTATAGATGTATATGTAATTACATGTAAATGTAAATTTTGTGTGTGAAGTTGTATATATTGAATAGACAGGATTTGGTTTTATGTGTACATATATATACACACATACATATTTCTGTTTTGGAGAGCATATAATAGAAAGTATATATGTATAAAAATATAAATTTCCAGCATAATGAAATAGTGAAAGAATTCTGCTAATGATGTCAATTACTGACAACAGCCTGGCTTTCTGGGTCATGCTTAGGGAATTTGCACTGATAAGCCAATCACCTAGTCAAATGATCTTTCTGGAGATGTTTCTGTAAATACTCAACTGTGACCCAGGACTCCGTTGTCTAGCCCATAGGGAAGAACACTAAGGTATTTGAAAGGATAATTCTGCTGTGTGTTAAAGATTATTTATAATTATGATAAGGGTCTGTACAGCACTCAAATTGTTTTGGTGTCGAGATCAAGCACAATGAGTTTTAAAATGTGCTTTGCAGTAACTATTAATTTGTTAGCTGCAAAGTGTGTATGGTGTGGTAATTGGGAGGCATGGCAATGCAGCAGTAGAGTGCAGAGGTAAAAAGGTTCTGTTCTGTACCTCCTCCGGGTAGGACCCGCATATGGAGGTACCACCAATCTCATGTCTGCAGGATGGTATCACGGGAGGAGTGTGAAATCAGATGTGCCTTGAAGACTTAAAAGTAATATATTACTTAAATCTATAATTAGAAAATGCTACACAATATAGATATTGGAGTACTTCTGTTGTACCACTTTATATTCATGTTATTCAGGTAAGCATATGAAAAGTTTTCAATAAATAACAGACAATTAAGGATGGGAATAATGCTTGTACTGACTGTAATCATTGAATTACCCCTGTTCAGGAAACTCAATGCCTCCTCCTAGTACTATGGCACAGTTCACAAACTTTTAGAATTCATCTACATTTGAGCTAGCTTTAGCACAGCTGGCATTAAAACGATAACTTTTCTTTTTATACCACCAATATGATTGTGCACTATACCGGTTCCTATAGCTGGGTTTGTAAATATCCTTTTTTTTTTCATGAGAAGTTTAGTTATGTCATCATACCTAATTATGTAATTACAACTGGTAATTACACATTCTAATTACACCATTAGAGTTTTGCACATATTTACAGTAATCATATAATTAAATACTATTACACTAATTATGTAAATTACTGATTGCTGTCTCAGAATTACCTCACAAAACTCAAGGATTGCTAATCCACATCACAGAATAGTTAAAATATCCTAGATCAAGAATAAAAAAGCCAAAAATACATCATGGAGTCTGTTCTCCTGTCATTGCAAGCTTGTTCTTCAGGATGCATTTTCTAATAGTGTATGTGGTTTGGTATATTCCAAATACCAATGGTTTGTAATAATGAATTGTCATGTTACTTATCAGCTTGAAGTAGTCTATGTCACACTGTTTTTCCTAATGCTCCAGCTAAGTTTTCTTTCTTTTTTTTAATTCCACCAGTTAATTCCACCATAATTAATTTTTCTTAGTTAATCTCCTAAATAATTCCCTTCCATTTTATCTCACGTTTAGCACTTTCCAGATGTGAAACGACTGTTGTATTATACCCAGGTCCTGTGAGCCTTGTAGGACACCTACCCAAAATCCTTCTGACTGGTCCCAAGAGCCTCTGCTAATAAGTAGCGCAGCTGAAGTGAGAGGGAAAGGCTTGTCTGGAACTGAGTATTAAAATAGCACTAAAATGCCTGAGGAGCTTGGAACCGTATTTGAACCACCTTGACCATCTTCTGAGTCTCCTTCTGGCATGGATGAGGTTTGGAGTTGCTTTCTAAGGTCACAGCCATGAAGTCAAGTTCTCAGAAGGACATGGTGGTGATCTGGCCAGCTGATGTGCTTCACACCCCAACAATGCTTCTGCTCCTTTGGGGCCACCTTCTGTTTTATTTACATATCCTTCTCATTTTGAAGCACTGGCCTGACCTCTTGTACTTTTCTGGAAGATTTAAATTCAGTCTTCTTTCTTTCTTATTAGCTACTGCTATCTTTAGCCATTGAGGTGTAAATGATACTTAAACCAGCGGCTTCTCATTGCTGAAAAGCATGGGATGAGGCAAACGAGATGAAGTAATGTGGAGTGCAAGAACACTGACAGCTTCGAAAGGTATTCAATTGTTCTGGAATAAGCTTATCAACCTGTTAAGAGATGCTTCACTGAGCCTCTGGTATTTACAAAATTTGCCTGCAGATGTTTAGTAAACACAAAATGGAAAGTGAGCACCTTTTCCCATCCTCTGAAAGCAAAAACTAATCTATATTAATTCCATATTACTTTCCAGATTTCTTAAGGCCTCAGCATTTTCTTGACGCAGCTGCATCTCCTTCTGTTCTTGCACTCTCTGAACCTATTTCTTGCTTCTGTGCCAAATTCAAGCTATCAATTATGATTACCCCCATTACAGCTTTCCTTAGTCTTGGAGCCTCTATAAATACGTACTGCTTCCAAGACTGATTCTCCTGGGGTTGAAGTTTTTACATTCTGGATCACAAAATTCTCGTGCAGGCAACAGGGAGCCATTTTCATCAGTGTCAGACTGTTTGCATTATTCAGTACGAATCTGTATTGTTAAAATCTCCCATGGGCAACATGGATTGTGAATTGCAATAATTTGTGAGGAGTTCCACAGGTAATTTTTGATCACCTTTTTGTTTTGTTTTGTTTTGTTTGTTTTTTTTTAATCTAGCAGATGGTACTATACAGTGGACATATTCTAATTTCACCATTGTGCATTTTGGAGTTGTATTTTGCTGATTGCCAAGAGTTGCTGCCATTAAAGCATATGGCAAATTTTCTCATACTTTTTCTTTAAAGATATAGATCAAATTAGTCACTGTAAATATTTTTTTACATATGCTATGGCCCCTTCACCTCCTTTTCTGTGTATTCAACATGCTCATATGTAGGAGGACTGCATTCAGAGCAAGTGCACCAATTTAGTTTGTCTAGCATGTCAGAAATCCTGCCAAGCAGTGTACCTTCACGTTATTTTCATTTTTTCCTGTGCTTTATGTTTTCGTACACTAATGTGTTTATACTGCACTTGGTCATCTTCTGCCTTCCTCTCTGTGAAAATCAAAGTGGCATTTTTTCTTTTATTTAAATGAAAATGCCCCTTCTTTAAGTGTCAATTTTACTTTAAAAGTATCTAAAGATCTGACAGATCTAGACATAAAGAGACTTTCAAGACTTCTGCTTACATGCAGCCTTATACTCCCAGGCTAGATGGTGTCATCCAAAGAGTTCTGATGTGCTGTGATTTTAGAATTTTCTTTCTTTCAAAATTGTTCCCGGGAATACAGGACACCTGCAACTTGCATGATTTATAGCTCAGGAGAAATAACTAGTTTCACAGTATTTTTTGAAGAGACTATATTGCTTCTT